CAATGTCCATCAAACAAACTGTAGTATATACAAACAATGGAATATTACTCACCAATTAAAAAAAGAATGAATTATTGATACATTCAAAGTAATAGATGAATCTCAAAATAATTTTTCTCAATAGGGACAAAAGCTATCTTGTGTGATTTTTTAAATGTAAAATTCTAGAAAATGCAAACTAAACCATAGTGGCAGAAACAGTTCAGCAGTTGCTTGGGGCTAATAAGGAGTGGGGGTGGGAGGAGTGATGGGAAAGATGGATTTCCAAGCAGCATGAGGAACATTTTGAGGTGATGGATCTCTTCATTATCTTGATTGTGGTGATGGTTTCACAGTTGTATACATGTCAAAGCTTAAATCATATACTTTATATATGTACATTTCATTGTTTCTAACTATACCTTGATAAACTGCTTTGTACATTTCATAGGTGTTGAGAATGTAAGATGATGCAACCCCTTTGGAAAACAGTTAGGCATTTACTCAAAAAAATTAAATTTGGAGATTCCACCAAGTATCACCATGAGTTGATTTACTAAAAAAGCCCATAAATTTCCTTCAGTTTTAAAAATCTTAATGAAAATTATATGCATTTAAAATACAGTTATAGAAAAATAAAACTGCAATTTATATTTTATAAAAATATAGACTAATATACTATTATAATTATATTGCATATACATAGCTCAAGAAAATTCTATCATAGTTCTTGTAACTTTTTCTATAGGAACCAAGTGTGGTGTCTTCTGTTATTAAACCTCTATTGTCTTTAAATTTTATGTGGAAAATGGACAGACTACAACTTGAGAGCCTCTCAGTTAAGTTTGGGAGAGAGAGCTCACTCTCAGGTTGCTCTTAGTCTTCTGTACTTTCTTTACCGGAAGGCACAGAACGGCTCTTTCCAAGAAGCCTGAGAAGAAAGAGTAGGTGTTTTGCACTTATGAGTACTATTGCTTTAGATGTGGAGGGAGGAGAATGAGGTTGGAAAGGTCTAGGATCAAAGAATTTCCGGTGAACAGGAGTAATCTGGGTTCAAAGAGTATAGTGCAGACATTCTCCTTAAATCTGCTGTATCATTTGGTGAGGGTATAAACCTCTCAACCTCTCAACAGACATTAAGTGACTCCTACCATTTGGTAGGCAGCAGGCTGGGCCCAAAGTCTACAGGGAATGCGTGAGTAGACAGAGAATTTTCCTGCCTTCAATCTGAAGTCATGTGAATCTAGGAACCTTGTGTGTAATGAGTGCATGGCTTGGGATGTAAGGGCAATTTGACATAGGCTGCAGCACTTCTGGCCAATTGCCCAGACTGGTCAATCATTTCTTGGGAAGTATGTGAGATAGCAGGGGTAAGAGTGGAAAGTTGAATACAGAGCATGAAAGAGAACACACAGATGAGAGGGTAGAAAACCGAGACAATTAAGTTGGAGGCTGGCAAAAAAATAATTGGGAAAGTGGTTGACCTAGATCCACCATGAGACTTTTCTTAGTCAGAATTATGGAAGAAATATAGACATACAGGCAACTACCTTAATAACCAGTTTTTACCTGAACCAGAAATAATTTTTTACAGCAGTTATGAATGTCATGGCCTCAGTTGTAAGGAGAAACATAAAGTATCTTTAAAAAAAGAACAACAAGGAAGAACTATGGAGAGAAACCAAATGTGCATGTCTGCACATTTATATATTTGCCAAACTGCATAGTTTGGATTTCAAGTCCTTCATGCAGAAGCAGATTCTGTTCTCTAAATGTATTCCATGAAGGGACAATTCTGTCAAGTCACAGAGAAGGAGAAGAGGTGAGAGAAAAAAAGAAGTTAGGACGAGGCATCAGCTGTCAAAATCAGTCTGCAAGATTTGAAGCTCTTGAGCTCTCAGTATGAATAGTATGTTGGAATATTCTAAGGTCCCTAACAGAAATCAGAGATGGGGATATGTGGGGAGGACAGACACTGTGGACCATCTCAGTAAGGCAGTAGGGCTTCCTTGGTATGATCATATAGGATCGGTGCAGAGCTTCAGGAGGGCTTTTGATCAGCAGAAAGTGTTTTTCCTCTTGCTGAGCAACATCTTGCCTGACTTCTATTTTTAAATATTATAACAAAAATTATAAAAATAAAATATCATGTAATATATTATGTGGAATACATAGAATTGTTAAAATGAGCACTAACCAAAACAGCTAAAATTAATCACTGTTTATATTTTGCTGTATTTAGTGTAAGTATTTTTTTTTATCTTTCATCAACCCACATGCATGTACATATTTTAACAAGGATGCTCAACAATGTAAATGAAATTAATACCACAGCATTTTACATTTAAAAATCTCACTCTATAAAAAATATACCTGCACACATATGTTTGTCCCAGCATTGTTCACAATAGCAGGAACATGGAACCAACCATGCTGCCCATCAAAAGAGGACTGGATAAAAAAAAATGTGGTACATATACACAATGGAATATTACGCAGCCATAAAGAAGAACAAAATCATGAGCTTCGCAGCAACCTGGGTGAACTTAGAGTCTATAATACTGAGTGATCCTTCACAGAAACAAAGAACTTAGTATCACATGTTTTCACTCATAAGTGAACCTTGAACAACTACCATGATACTATAAGAAAAGGATTGACAGTAGCGGGAAATTGTGTGGGGAGGGGGAGAGGTGGGATTGACAGTAGTCGATATCTGCCTAGGGAGGGGTGGCACACCTCATCAACAAGGGTACCTGCACAATGAATATTTGTTTACCTAACCTTGAATTGTACCCCACAATTTTAAAATAAAAATGTAAAGAGAAAAAAATTGCACAAGATGGCAAATTTTGTTTTTTTTTAATACAATAAAAATGTATTTTTAAAAAGCAGCCCCAAGCGATATAAAAACACAAGTGCATTACTTTACATTCATAGTAGCTGTGCATCACAGAGCTCACTTTCCCACCCAGAATCAGTTTATTTAATTGTGATTGGTCCAGGAATTACTACTAGATGTTTTTCCCCCTAGAGACAAGGTCTCACTCTGTCACCCAGGCTGAAGTGCAGTGGTTCAATCATAGCTCACTGCAGCCTAGAACTCCTGGGTTCAAGCAATCTTCCCACCTCAGCCTCCTAAGTAGCTGATACTAAATGTGTGTGTCATCATGCCTAGATAATTTTTTTATTTTAATTTTTATAGTGGCAAGGTCTTGCTATATTGCCCAAGTTGTTCTTGAACTTGTGGTATTAAACAATTCTCCTACCTTGGCCTCCCAAAATACTGGGATTACAGTCTTGAGCCACTATGACCAACCTAGACTTTCAGTCATTGAATCAGCAGTAGTGTGAAGGCACCTCAACATGTGTATACCTAACAGATCCAAGTGACATCATTCTTTCCTGCCAGTTTGACACCTATTCATCACCTTGCAATGATTCTTTGCACAATTTTTGACTTATAGTTTCCAAAAATCTCTGAGCTCTTGCCAAACTCTTTGGAACACCTGTCACCTGCCTCACACCTCTTTAATATTATGGAACATAAAACCTATCAAGCACTGGAAATTTTTCCCCCGGTCACTACTGTGGCCCTTCTTAAATTTTGTCATCTTCTCTGCTTTGGGAAACAGTAATTCGATACCTGGGAATCACTGGACACAGACCTGAAAATCTGCTCCTCACCCCTGAAATCAAGAAGACCAGGCTGCAGGAGAGAGGAAGGGACTGGGAGTATGGGGAGCTAGACTCTGATGTGATGCAGACACATACTTTCAAAATGATCTTAATTCACTCTTTGGGTATCAGTTTCTTAACTTGAACTATAGAACAGTCTACTAAGTTCTCTGTAATTCTCTTTTCACTCCTGAGATTTTATAGCTTAATGACCTACTTTTTTCTAACTTTGTAACTGGTTATTCACTGCACCTGGATCATGTACTCCTAGTCCCTACTTAAAATTCACTTGTCTGAAACAACTGTATACATCTATTTCTGTAGGTCAGTTTTGGGGAAAGAGAGAAAAAGGGGGATGGAGGGATACAGAAAGATCATATGGTGTGCACATGTTTGTACAAGAAGGATGTGAATGTCATAACCCTAGGGAAGACTGCAAATTCTCCAAAGGGTACTGTGTATCCCTCCCTGCCTCTTGCTGGCCCAGCTTTAGGCCTCCCTGTACATAGTAAGTAACCAGCTAAAGGCAGCTTTGCCTGAGCAAATGAGGGTGGAGCTCGTGTTGGTGATTATGTGAGTAGGCAGAAATATACAATAAGTGTGCCTATGTGATAGTATGTGGATGTGTGTGCTTGGGATAATTCAAAGACAAGTAAGTGAAGAAAAACAGAATACAAGGTTCAAGCAACTTGGAGTAAAGTTTTCTTGGGATGAAGAGGAGATGTGTGGCAGGAGACTGAGGATAGGAGGTGACTTGGCGCAGGCAACATAGAAATCAGACATGATTCGATCCAGTGTAAACCTTTTTCCAGTCATGGCTGCTCAAAGTGGCAGTCTCCATGCACCATTACACAATACTCATTGCCTTTCTAGGAATGCTGAATGTTCCAACAAACCCCACAGAACCCACAGCAATGGGATTAGATAGATGACTTCTACAACAACTCCCCTCTGTCTCTATGACCTGATTCATGATGGGAGAACAAGGAAGGAGGAAGAGTCAACTAATGACACACAGCCAAGAGTGGAGTTCAAACTGATTTAATGGGAACAGAACAGGAAACATGCATTTCTTTTTATCCAGAATCATAAGATGACTCTTGAGCATCTGAAGACCAGAAGTCACTAAGACTTTTTCCTTAATTCAGAGGCTTAGAGGACTCTTCAGAGTGTTTGTAAGGAAAAGCTTCATAGTATATATTTTAGGACACAAATAAGACAGAGATTATGACTCAGGTGACAACATACTGAATGCAAGGTCTACAAACAAGACATAGGAATAGATGAAAGACAGCTTTCATTATCTGGTGGTCAGTTCCTCAAGGGCATAGCTGTTGATCACATCACTTCTGCTTGGTCTTCTGCTGAGCTGGATCTGGAATGACTGTTGAAGAATTTGGCTGTGGAACCTTGGGGTGGTGAGGATGAGGGACCTTGGTGTAGCCTGGCTCAGGGACCTTGGTGTAGACCGGTTCAGGGAACTTCATGTAACCCTGATCAGGGACCTTGGTATAGCATGGTTCAGGAACCAGGATGTAGCCTTGTTCAGGGACCTTGGTGCAGCCTGGCTCAGGAACCTTGGTGTAGATCGGCTCAGGGACCTTCATGTAACCCTGGTCAGGGACCTTGGTGTAGCATGGCTCAGGGACCAGGATGTAGCCCTGCTCGGGGACCTTGGTGCAGCCTGCCTCTGCAATCTTTGTGTTCCCAGTTTGTGGAACCTTTGGGTGGCATGGCTCTTTGGTTATGGGAACAAACGGTTCTTGAGGTGGAGGCTGGCAGGGTTGCTTCACCTGCTGCTGTTGAAGATGAGGGGGTGGGGTAAAGGATTGCTTCTGCTGGTAGGAACTCATGCTTCAAAGGGTACTGGGCCTAGAGACAAAAAAGTTGATTCAGTGGTTTGATTAAATAGAAATGAAGCCAAATCCAATGCCAATACATCTTATTGCATGCCCCTTGACATGAGAGAGTCTCTCTTCTTTTTCTTTCTGTTTCCTGAATTTTATATCACAGAAACTTTGATGATCCCTGTGAACTTTCAAACAGAGAAGCTAAAAGTTGATTTGTTCTGCCCCATGTGAGTGCTTCTCTATGCTTTCTTTCTTCCTGGTATGTCTAAAAGCACACATTAGCAAGACAGCACAAAAAACCTCCTATGATTGACGTGAGACCCCCAGTTTTTCAATCATTTGGACAGGGGATAAGGTCAACAGTCTGGAGTCTACTCACTCATGTTTCACTTCATAGAGTGCTGTAAGTCTCATAGAAAAATACCTCCTCTGAGGCCCACACAAACCACTTGTGAGACTCTGTTCACACCGTCCCGCCTCTCATCTTTCTGGAAGGCTCTCCAGGCCATCGCTGCTTGTCCATACATGCTCACCTCTTAGGGTTGTCCTCCCCTATACTCTCTGCCAGATTCCAAGTCACTGTCCTCATTTTGCCATAGCACATTACCTGCGTTGCCCTCTCTACTAATCTCTTTCCATCCTGTATGTTTGCAAATTTTGAGCATGTATGATAGGTTTGTGGAGCAAAGTAACATTTAACGTTTTTTATTTTAAAGAGATAGGATTTTACTCTGTCACCTAGGCTGATTTGCAAGGGCATGACCATCGTTTACAGCCTTGGGTTTCTGGGCTCCCAGGGTTGCTGAGACTATTGGTTGTGCCACTGTACCTGACTAGAATTTAATTTTTTAATATCCAAATTCCCTAGTGCAGTGCCTTTGATATTCTCAATAAAATTATAGGGGAGACTAAAATATCACTAAAATTGCCTTGGACATGAGGTCTAGTCCACATCCTGTTAACTGAATAGCACCCTTTAAATAAATCACTCTTCCTTCCTGATCCTCAGTCCCGCAACTGTAATCTGAGTGGGAACTTAAAAAAAAAAGATCTCCTTTAGTACCCTCCAGTACAAAACTACAATTGCATTTAAAACAAATATGTCATTAGCGTGGCAAAGAGATCCCAATTAAAATAAAACACCATTGGTGAATATTAAGAAATTCCAAGTGAGGAGTCTTACCTCAGAAGATTGAGCTCTCTGGCCTCTCAGGTCTGGTGAAGTGTCTCTGGCCAACTGGACTTTTATACAGAAAATGTGCCCTGCCACAAGGAAATGGATTTTGGAAGGGCTGCTCTATTTTCATTCAGTTTTGTGATGAAAATCTCTGGCTTAACATTTCTTGTCACTTACTGCCTGACAGTGATGTCACCTGGGCCTGACCCACTGTCCACTCTTTGTGGTGTGGTGGCTGTGGGCCAAGGGCTTCTTGAACGGTAATGGATTATGTTAGGAGGAAGTTAATCCTGTTCATCCAAACTGGATTTGGGATGAACAATTGACATTTCTGGTTCTTCTGGAAGGCCACAGTGAAGGTGGCAATAAATTAATCACTAGGTTATTCATCTGTCAGTGGATGTGGGGCTGGAAGGGGAAATGGAAGGCAAAATGTCTGCTTTGGAAATAAGCTGGCTTCACTCTAGAAGAAGGCTTAGGTTGCCATCTTGACCAGGGATAGTAGATGTCATTGGATCTGACATTGTGGCACAGCCCTGAAGATCCTTCCTCTTCTGGAGTCTTTCTTCTCTGGAATTACAATGGAATAAGAGAGCTCTTATTTCCTGAGTTTATATGGCAGCCATTTCCTCTGACCACAATAGGATGATCCTGAGGTCACTAACTCAGAGTTGCTCTCAATATATGATCTAGGTGTGGATATTCTTAAAACTTAAGTATATGGGTAGCTCCACCTATCCCACTGCTTCACCGCTGTGTTACCTCCCATTAACCAGATACCCCAGGCACAGCCACCACCATCAGCACCTTCCACCAGTTTGCCAAAGCCAGGTGTTGTACTTCATCCTCACAACCTGCCTGGTTATTGTAAGTGCTCAGTAAATGGGTAATTATTATTTTTCTAAATAGATTTGTAGGTTCATGCAAGGGAAAAAGAAAGAGAATAAGAGAAAGAAAAAAGGAATTGAGGCAGGAAGTAAGGAAGAGAAGAAGAAACTACAAAGTTGCTTCTTGAAAATGATTCACCTCATCAACAAGGGTACCTGCACAATGCATATTTGTATACCTAACCCTTAACTGTACCCCACAATTTTAAAATAAAAAATATGTTAAAAAAAAGAAAATGATTCACCATCTTATGACAGGCCTCATGGTATGAGCTGGGAAGAGGGTGAGGGTTGATGAAGAAGTGGAGGCTTTCATTACCTTCTCCACCCATCTGCTTCCCTCTTTGTTAGCATTCAACCAGCCACCTCCTTCTGGGGTGATTCAAGCATTAGCACCACACCTAAGCTCCAGTCTCAGGTGTCACGTTGGTTTTTCCTTAGGGTTGGGTACAGGCTTCTCTCCTCACCAAACCACCTCTCAGGAGCTCCAGACCCTGCTGTTGGATAGGGAATTCTTATCTCTACAGGAACATGCTTCTGCTCTTCTATATGAATCTGGATCTCTTTCATGTCCTTCCTTGATTCTGAGCCATGGTTGTAGAAGAAATTCTTTTCTCATTATGTTTCTTCTTTGGGTGGGTTCTCTTCTGCCCTTCTCCTGTCTCAGTCACCCCAACAAAAACCTTTCTGCCCTCAGTTTCCTGAACTTCTCATTTTACCCCAACCCTGTTATTCCTGTTAGGTCACGCACACTCAGTGGCTGAGATTTAAGACTCTCTTCCCTTCAAGAAAGCTTTGTTTCTTTATTGGCAGTGTTTAGTGTGCTGATAAATCTGGTCTCAGCTTCTGAGAGGATACAGTGAGTGACTTCTGAAAACGAGTTCCACCTCCCCAGGTACCCTGGTCTTTTCCATTGGCTCCCATCTCTAGTGGCAGGAGGCTGCTAGTTTCCTGCTTCGTTGTCTGGGGACTGGAATCTGTCTGTGGATGTTACTAATACCTCTCAGGAACTCTCCAAATTTACTGGATCTTGTTCTTTTATCTGTTGTGACTATATGGACCATTCCCACACATTGCCTAGGACTCTGCCTCTCTCTTCATTACCCAGGAGTTATTTGATGACACAGCGTGATTCCCATTGGACACTTTAATGCATATATGAAAGCTTGAAGCACAGGGTAGTTAATGCCCAGGTGATCCCACTCTACCAACGGAGGCCTGAATCTGACAGAAAAGTGCTCTTATTTTATTCCCAAGGAAAACCGATCTGAGATGCTTCTCTGATGTCTTTTCAGAAGGTTCTATGTGATCAAGCCCCAGTTACTCTTGGTGATTAGCTACTTTTTATCATCTTCGTGTTTTGGCTTCCTTTTGCACAACAGTTTCACTCTTAGTTATTCTTCATTCCTCCTCCCTTAAATTTAGTTGGCAAATAATCTACCTACATATAATATTTTGTTTATACTCTGTTTTGAAGGATTCTAGGCGAAGAGAATTATCAAACACATGCTTAATTTGGGGTGCAGAAGGATAAACAATTACCCAGTGATATAAATCAATGTCTAAGGCAGAATCATATAAAAATCATCTGATACATCAGTGTAAGCATTTTGAATTTACCTAACATTTGGAGGCTCTGAAACTGGGCTATCAATAGGGTAGCATATTGTGAGTTCCCAAAACCACTCTCAAGCCAATAATTTGCTAGAAGTACTCACAGAACTAAAAAACAAACAAACAAACAAAACGGCTATAGCAACATTTATGATTTGTTACAGTAAAAGGACACAAATTAAAATCAGCAAAAGAAAAGAGTGCAAGCTGGGCTCGGTGGCTCAGCCTGTAATCCTGCACTTTTGGGAGGCTGAGGTGAGTGGATTTCCTGAGCCCGCGGGTTCGAGACCTGCCTGGGCAGCGAGACCTCATCTCTACAATAAATCAAAAAATCAGCCAGGCGTGGTAGCGCATATCTGTAGTTCCGGCTACTCGGAAGGCTGAGGCGGAAGGATCGCCGGAGCCCAGCAGGTCGAGGCTGCGGTGGCCGGGAGCGGCCACTGCACTCCAGTCTGGGCGACAGAGTGAGACTCCAATAAAAAAAAAAAAAAAAAAAACAATGCATAGGGTGGAGTTCAGAATGATCCAAATGTTAACTTTCAGCTGCCACTCCCCAGTGGAATCATATGGACAGCACTTTATTCTCCCAGCAGTGGTATGTGAAAACACATATAATGTATTGCTAGAGAAGCACACCTAAGCCTTGGTGTACAAGGTTTCTATTGAGAGTCAATTACATGAGCATGGAGTGCCCTGATTTACTCACTACACAGACAGACCTGATTTACTCACTATACAGCTCTTCTTGAGGTCCAACTCATGCAGCATGGCTGAAGACTCCGGGCAAATAAAAACAGACATTCATCATGAATCATATTATGAGCATCAATATCTTGAATGGCACAAGGAGTCAGGTTTACAAAGACACTGTCATCAGGCAGGCTATTTCATGGGCTCAGAAGTTCTCTTCTAGGATACAGAAATATTAGTATGATATGCCTAACATTTGTAGGCATCATTGAAAGATAGGTTAGATGTAAAGAAACAATCTATCATATAAAGCCATTATAAACATTTAAATACTTTTGTTTATTACTTGTTTCTGCCTTAATATACCACCACTGTTTGGACTGCATAATAAACTTGGACAGCAGGTTTTTAACATAGAAATTAGCTGATGGCTAGCTAAATTCAGATCTTACGCAGACCAGTCATTTTCCAACAGTATTACATCCTGAAGAAGTTTTAACTCAATGTTCCAATATACTTTATTGTCAGTATCAGTATTATTTTATGTATTATTTATATAAAGTATTTAAATCTTACCAACAATACCAGTGTTACACTATGTTGTATAGAACAGTTCCATTGAAGAGCAAACCAAT